ACCACTTTGCTTCCTTTGAGGGATTCAAATTTGTCATTCAAGATGGTTGTTGGGTAGATCCTATAACAAATTTACTTACTACCAGTGGACCAGCTTTAAAGGAAATGTTTCAAAGACCATTACCTGTTTCTTTATTTAAGTTTGGAAAAAAAGAACTATTGGATAACCCCCCTAAAAAACTACTCCATACCCCTTCTACTCTCAGAATACAATCACAGATGTCTCCTAAACTCCTTGCTTTAGTTTCTCAATGGATAAAGAATACTTATGGGAATTTATTTTATTGTAATAAAATTAGTTTACAGGATAAAATGTGTACCAAACAAGGAAACATTACTGCTGGTACTTCATTTGTATTATATAATCATAAGCACTACAGAGTACATAGTTTTCTTCTTATAAGAATTATGAGGATTGGTAGTGAAGATGTTACCTCATTTATTTCTAAAGAGTTGGCAGTACTAGAATATTTTATACATAGGTTTGAGCAGGCACTTCTTGGAGGATTGTTAGTATTACAACCACAACTTGGCCAAGATAGCCAGCCAAGTTTGAGTATTAATTCTGATTTGTCTAGTATTAATTTACTAAATGTACAGCATTTATGTGGGATAGATTGTGGGCCAGCATGTGTTCAAGATAGTCGGATTGAGGAGAGAGAAAAAACCTCAGCACAGATTTGGAAACATAATGGTACACCAATATATATAGTAAATACTTTTAAGTTATAAACTCAAATACTACATCCACGGGAATAATATACTAGCACTTAATATACAGTCTGAATATATTTTGATACTCACGGGGCTGAATTGAAGCTAGGCACCTCGTTTCTGCAGTGATCAACAGAGTAATAAGAGTGGAGCAGACTTCCAGGATATATGATGTAATTTTGATATACTGTAGAATGTAGAAAGTAGAAGTCAGCACACCACATAGATAGTAGGTACAAGTAGGCAAACTATCAATAGAGCAAAGGTAATCCTAGCAAATACATAAGAGAAATTGCTGGCACTCCAGGAGGTATCATCTAATTACAAGGGTCAGGCATTTCATGAAAGGCTCCAAGTCTAAAGAGTTATTCTCCATGATAGGTTTGGTAGAAAATGGACAAGTACACTAAGCACCAGATAAAACAAGCCCATCAGCACCAATAGAAGTCAGTTGAATCTCTATCTGTACTGTATTTGTATCTTAATAATCTGGTTAAGTGTAGGCCTATCATTCCTTGGTTGATAACTACTGAAAGGAGGAGCCTAGCTTCAACTTAGCCATGCAAGTAGCATGGAGGTATGATGGCTTGAGCTATAATTAGTCAATGTAAAACCAAGATGGGAAAATATGAAGGCATTAGTACTCATATACTAGTAAGGTCCCACTTGAGACCTCGAGTACTTTGGTCACTCCTGCAGGTATATTGCCAATCATTTTTTCCTTTGTTTCTTCCTTTTCTTCCACCTGACTTGCCAGGGATGCCTCATTATTGCTGGGCATAGAGGTTTGAGCAAAAGCAAGCAAGAAAGACTCAGAGAGAGGCTGGATTAGATTGTACACTGAGATCATATACTTACTAAGAACTGTACAGTATATATATGATTAGATAGACATGATATGACTATATTATTCAGTACCTTTTTTTTTTTTTAGTGTAAAGTTATGTAATAATTCTTTTATAACATATTAGTATTCCTACACCCAAATGTTCTCATTCCATATTCTGTCATATGATATTGCTTGAAAATGATTTCAAACAATTTAATTTCTTCTCACATTTTGCCTAGGTAAAATATATCTGACAACATGAATCTGGTGCTACCATATGATAAAATGGCAATCATTTGATATAATATGTCAGTGACTTAGTAGTGTAGAGAGAGGGAGAGTACAAGCGCAACAGAAGAGAGGGGACTAGTGCAGGTGCTAGGTCTTGGTGATGATGAGATTGCCTCACCTACCAATCGCACCCCATCACCACTGATAGAGGAACCACCGCAGGAATATTTCCCCACGGAAAACATCGACCTATTGCCAGAAACCCTACCAAGGACGAATACCCCTGGCGAATTTCCTCAAGAGATGCCTGAGGGAGCGATTTAACTACAACTAGAACTTCGTTTAAACCCACCCCCTCAGGAACCTGTTTACTCACAAAGACCACAACGTTCAAATGCTGGACAGTTTACCAGCACCCATTTCTATGACGAAAATTATTCTAACTTTGCCATTGAGCGCATGAACAGCACACATAGCCCACCAATACACCATGCACTGCTCACCACAAGTCACACCACCGAACCAGTGAGCTATGAAGAAGCAATATCCGGCCCCAATTGTGACGAATGGAAGGAAGCAATAAAAGACGAACTGACATCACAGACAAAAAATGAAACATGGATAGTCACTGACTTATGAGTTGGTAGGAAGACTGTGAAATGCAAGTGGGTATTTCGAGAGAAGAAGGGAGCAGATGGAGAGACAGTAAGATACAAAGCAAGATTGGTCGCAAAAGGTTTTACACAGCAATACGGTATTGACTACTTAGAAACATATGCACCGATTGTCAAACTTACCTCGTTACGCAATCATCCTATCATTGGCCGCCTTCCATAACTTCGAGATCCACCAAGGCGATATAAAAACAGCATATCTGTTAGGCAAATTGAATGATGAAATATACATGGATAT